TGTTTCGTAGAATGATATTTTCCGGACCACGTCTAGAAGGAAGATGGAACATGAACAGTGGCCATTGCGTTATGCGATGGTTCCGCTCACAATTCTCAAATCCCGCTAGGCGAGTGGAAAAGGCGGAAAGATAAGGAGTACCCACAGCTGCAACACCAGCACCCTCGTGGCCTAGAGCCATATCGGCATGTCTGTAATGCTCATCGGTACCGCAAAGACCCTATAAAATCTGATGTCAGTGGTATGATCGGAGAATATTTCATGCAGCTAAAAGTCGTAAATTCTTTGGTTGCATATGCGAGCAACTTTGGGAATGGTGGATTGTTGCATTTGCAATTGCATTGAGATGGGATGAAATCATGGAGAGGGATCATTTCTTACCGAGTGAGTGATCTTGACCAAGACATCGTTGGGACCAATCTCTCTGGTAGTGGTAGCCTTAACGATCTTTCCCTCCTTGGAACCCTTGAAGACGGTGAAATCAACCATTTTGATAGATGTAGTATTAAATGTGAAAGATTTAAAAGGTGGTATTGATTATTGATTGAGTAGTGAGTATTGAAGATGTGAAGAGTTGATTGTTGATTGAAGTGATGATTGTATTGATGATGATGATGATGATGTTGTTGTTGTTGTTGTTGTTGATGATAGAGAAGTAGAATATAAAAAACGAGATCAAACCTCATGTATATATACCAAAACCTTCGAGTTGCCATCGACCCCAGACCCAGTGAATATTTCCTAACATCATGCAAATATTCTCAGCAAAACTCCAAACTCCGAAAACCATGACATATTTTCGCATGTTTACGATCCACTCCATAGGGCCAAAGTCAAAATAGAATACTTCGTCAGTAGTCTCCGAAACTACATGTCTTTCCTAGAAGGGAAAGAATCCGGTGATGATGGGCACGTGATTGGTCTTCCATTTTGTTCTACGCAGCAAAAACTTGATAAATGCCCCGGTTAAGGTTTCGATGGTGATCGGATACCGCGAAAAAAGAATTTGATAGCGGCGGGAGCTTAGAAACTCTGGAATCTACCGGAACTCAAAGGGGCATGACGTCGGAGGAAAGATGGAGCACCCTTGTTGGAGCGAGAGAGTCAAAGGACTAACTCCGATGAACCAAATGCGGTGCGAAATCAATCCATGGCCCAAGGGATTTGAACTCAGCAAAAGCACGAAAAGGGTTCACAGTTGGTTCGGAGATATCGATGATTGGATGAATTCCACGCCCAGATAGAGTTTCAAAGACCGGAGTTGTCAATATTGATACCTAGGTACAGAGTACTCTCGTACTTGATGCTTATTCAGCCTTATCCTATTACATAGATGGGAGATTCGGACTTTGGCATCTAACTGTTTCTATCTTAGGAACGATTTTCGGCAATAACGACGATTGGCTCAAATGAGACTTGGCGAGAGCATTTATGCATGGTTCACACATGTGGATTGCAAGATGAAAAACTTAGGAGTTGGCTGTCTGAGACTGTTTGGATCAATTTGGTATACAAAGTCCAACGTACCGGAGACTCATGCATTATGTGCATAAAGTGCATTGAGAATGTGTGTTGTGATAAGATGATACGTCCTTAACCGAAATATTATCTCCGAATCCCAATTTGTCTCCGGAGCTTCTGGAGTCCAGAACAAGCAAAAAATTTAAGAGCTTCAAGCCTTCAATCCAACCCACCCCATCCCATCCCGTACAATTAATGTTTCCCTTTAAATCCTACGAGTCTTTTCATCCATCTTGATGAGCAGTCGGTCTCGTTAAATTATTTTCGTCTTACCTCGGCTTTCTTCAATATCCATCTTTCTCAACGTTTCGTACAAAGTATACAAACAGTACTACAGTACACGCACGCACGCATGGCATTTTGACCCTGACTCGTATTTACGTTGATCATATTTGATTTCTTCTATATTAATTATATTTTCATGTTGTGCTTATTAGACTTAAGACTCGTTTGCCTATTTCTCCTCCGACATATGCACTACTTTCGCCCTCGTCTTCCTCATCCACCTCAACGGCAGCTCCATATGCTTTGTTGACCATATCTTCGTCAACCCTCAATCCTTCTTCCACCAACAGTTGAATGACCCCCTTTATCCTTGCAATCTCTGTCCTCGTTTCGGGAATAATTTCGTCGTTCTGACTTGAATATGCTGCGTTGCTAACACTTTCCTCGATTCTTGTGATTGAGGTTTCCCCTTCCTTTACTTCGACCGTCTTGCATATCCAGATAAATCCATTGACTCCCAGAATAACATCTACCTTCCCACCGTTGTGTGCTGTATCGATAGTCCAAACTTGTCTTCTAGCTCGAACCACACCTCCACCTCCACCAGTTCCACTAACAGCCATGAAGACACCATTCCTCAGCTTTCCATATTTTAAACTTCTCGTATGTAAACTGGCACTTCCATCTTGATATAATTGTTGGACTTCGGCAACTAGTAAATCTCCTTCTGAAAAAAATGTTCGTATTTGAAGCTCATCGGTTTCTGTTCTCTTTCTTTGAATTCCTCCGGGAAGATTGATTGCAGATAATGGTAAATTGGCAAGAACCGGAGCTCCAATATCAACACGCCATCTCTTACTTTGTACTTCTATAATTCGCCCAACAACAAGATCACCGATTTCTGGGGTATAGCGGGCGCGTAATGGTCGAACTGAAAGAAGTTTATTCGTCTTTTGAACTGTACCTGCGACGGTTCCTATAATTTCTGTACTTGCAGGAGCAACATATGTGCCATGACCTCTGAGGAGAATGTTAGCTATGCTTATAGTTGCAAATACCACAGAGAGTAAGAAATGTGTGTACCTCATCCATTGAGGATCATCTGTGATTACTTCACCAGGAGTAACAATATTTTGATGCTTGGCCCGTTTGGACAGTTGCATATCAAGATCCCCTTCTATATCAACACCTCCATCATCAGAATGATCAGACTCATCTTCAGTGTGATAGGGTACCGCAGCAGAAACTGGTGCGATGATAGTAATTGCCATGATGTAGAAACTGTACAAGGCTGTGGATATTGATACCTCCAAACCAATCCAAGCTTCTAACCTTCCAAAGAAACTCGTTTTTTCTTAGCGAGACCCTTTGCAGAGCCAATTTTAGCCAAGGCTGAAAGTCTTGATTTTGAGAAAGCTTGGTCTGCGGATAAATGGTTCCCAGACGGATAACACCAATGAAAACGATTATTGTCCGTGGAATCCAAAGGGAAAACCACTTCTTTTTAATGGAGGATCAACGATTACATCATCACCCAACATATGTCAAAGCCATCCATCCAATACCTGACGCTGTGTGATCACGATTCATACCAAGTAGAAGAAATGTTGCTCTTCAGTGGTAACGATACTCGTAAGTATCAAATACTCCGGAGTCCTCTCTTTCAATCTTTTTATCATACACACACAATTCATAACAACCATTGAAATTCTTCAAAGATCTGTGAATCGTTACTTGATAATTCTGTCATTCGTTCCTCGTCGTACTGTTTTGCTTTTTTTGACCTTCCAGCGAATGATACCAGAATCCATGGAAAGTGCATAATCGATTTTCATCAACATGCCGGAGTTCAATGCATTCACAGATGAGGAGATAAAAGAGAGCGAGCATCATAATCATTTAGATGGACATCATGATGAAGAAACAACTACACAATTACAGAGTTTAGAAGAGAGGAGGAATACACAAGACGAATCAAACACAAACACGCCACACCTTCAACCGCCGGAATCATCAACACACCATCTTCAAACACCAAGTGAAAATTCGGCGCCTTCACAAACATTTGGATTAAGAGAACCATTACCTCCTTTACATACACCGCATCGAAGGAGGAAAACGATATTATGGGTTGGGCTCAGTATCGTAACACTTGACCTGGCTTGTCTGCCGATTACATATTACTATGCCTTGAGTTTTGGAACAAAGATAGAGTTACAAGATAGTAAGACCTATTTTCTTCACCCTGCAAAATGTTCCACCGGTTCTAACCTAATACAATTAGTCTTCGCTATCATAACAAGTGTATATGGAATGATCAGTTTCGCACATTATGGTTTCCGATCCTTAAAACTCTTCCGCGCCAAAACGGCGCCGAGATGGAGACCAGTAGGATGGACTAAATGGGGAATGGTAAGCTGCACAAGTCATCCCTTGGGTTTGATTTGTCGCTAACAAATCTTCCAGCTTGAGTTCCTCCACATCAACTTCATGATCGCTATTACCTTCGTAGAACTCGAACTTATCATAGGAACTATTCCACACCACCCATGGGTGCGCTTGTGCGCTATGCCTTCCCCTACGATATGCTATTGGTTTGGGTTCATGTTCATATTTTCTGCGGTCCAAACAATGCGAAAGAAGCCACTGCCATTCAACATGTCGTCGACAGAGAAGGGAAAACTTTGGCGTCCGGCGTTATTGGCCATCATCGAGGATGCTGGTGGAGTTGAAGGTCAAGGAGGAGTCGTATATCGAAGCAATGTATTAAGACGATACGAAGTCAGCCCCATATTTCGACGTATGATGATGGTTCTAACGTGGTTTTGGGGCATCGGTCTCGTATGCATTGCCATTATATCAACAGTCATCATAATGACTTTACCCGAGAATATTGGTTTCGGAGTCGGATGGGGATTGCCATATTGTTTCGGTTTCGTTTGGGTTTGCATCACCATGGCTTTTGTGAAGATGCAATTGCGAAAAGAGAAAAGACATTGGGAGACGAAAGAGGCCGGCGAAGGACAGGCTGTTGCGGAGTATACTTGAGCGAGCCATTGAGCGTACACCACTTGTATAGTATTGTTATTGTAGATACCACTGTGCGATTCATAGAACATATATTTTTTTTCATCCTTTATCCTCTCAACGCAACTTTTCTTGTGAAATCGTCTCATTCCGAGTGAGTAGAATCCCGAAACTCCCAAACACCTTGCCTCATTCATAAGATTCTTTCGTCCCATAGTCAGAGACACCTAATTTTTCAGTCTCCAAAGTCCCATTCCAACGAGTGTCAATGCAATACCAGTAATACCAGTTTGCCGACTCTTCATACCAAACATAGACTTGCTCTTTAGAATCTTCGCTTCTTGGGCCTTTAATTGGGATTGTCCGGAGAAGTAACTGTAGATTCCGAGGCCGATAAATGCGAAGGATCCTGAGGAAGTGTTAGTTTGTGCTGCGTAGATAGGAACCTGGCAGGCTCGTAATGTAAAGGGCGAATGGAAATCAAGGGGAAGAGGAGAATTGGGGGAAGAAATGAGGGAGGGAGTGAGGGGGTGCAGTGTAACATAGGGAAGATTTACCAGTGAGTCGACACGGTAAACAATCATCTTTCCATTGTGCTTCATCTCTTTTTAGCACATCCGTGAGTCTTTCCTGTCGATCGAGACTTTGTGCGGAATTAGGTGCCATTGTGAGTGTTCTTGCTGCTGTTTGTCACACCCGTGTAAACATTAATGAAGCTTGATGACCTTGAGAAATAGAGGCGGCCGCTTTCCCGCTGCGGGCCGCCCCGCAAGTTCGCAAGCATGCATTCATCATTGTTCAAGCTACAAGTTGCAAACCAAATGCAAATGTCTTGATATTATTCTTAAATAGAAATCATGAACGGTGCTATTGAGGCATTGTATATCTATGATGAGCACAAGTGAGTGATTCCACCAAATAATCCCATTTACTTCACTGCTTCGCTCGTTCTCTGCTCCCTCACTCGCTGGCTCCCAGATTCGCAAACCCCCAAGCTTCCATACTAATCATCTATACAGTCGACCTCTCCTCCAAAACACTTACACTTCGCGCCCCCTCTCCTCCACACAACTTCTTCCTCTCTACCTCGCTCATCCAGCTCCAAGACCAAGTCTAATATATCTCCCAAACACATCTCCGCCCACTCTACTCTTTAATCTCATTCACTCAAATCTATTATTTTGTCTCACATCTTCCTCGGAAATCGAACCTCTCCTCGCCCTCGAATTCTTACACCGTGTTATCGATGTGTTAGAGGAATTTGTGGGTGCGCCGCTATTGGCGCAAAAGATAGAGAGTAGCTATGATGTAGTGGCTCAGTTACTAAATGAGATGTGCGATGCGGGCACGGTGAGCTCGACGGAACCTAATGCGTTGAGGGATATGGTGGAGGTGGAGGGGTGGATTGGGAAGTTCTTGGGGGGTATTAATATTCCTGGGTTCGTAGATATATCTTTAGAGGGTGCAATTGAAGTTTCGGAACATAACTAAGATATCTACTATAGGAAACCTGGCTTTGCAACTCCCTCTAGTTCAGGCATGTCTGGATTGTCGTCTACGGGATCACTCGCAGCGAATACACCAGCTTTACCATGGAGAAGAGCAAATGTACGACATACTTCGAATGAATTATATGTGGATCTGGTTGAAACACTTACTGTTACTCTTGCGCCGTCTGGTCGTCCATTGGCTGCGTTTGCCAATGGAACTATTGCTTTTACGTCAAAAATCTCTGGAGTACCAGACCTACTCTTGAATTTATCCACACCATCCGGTAGACAAAACGTTAGTAGTGTTATGGAACTACCAGTATTCCACCCGTGTGTCAGATTAGCGAGATGGAGAGAAAAGCCAGGGGAGTTGAGCTTTGTACCGCCTGATGGACGATTTGTTTTAGCTGGATATGAAGTTGATTTACTTCCTTCTACGGGCGGAAAATCCGGTACTACTAATGCCTCTCATCTAAAATTACCCGTCAATATTGAAGTCAAAACTAGTCTTGGTCCTACCGGATCAGATTTCGAGGTTCGGTTATTCATTGTCAAGGTTTCTGGCCAGGGTAATTCTTCCATATCTTCAGGTTCGAGCTCGAGAAGCAATAGCAATGCGGCAGGACAACTAAGCAGGGCTGCATCACAGTTTAGCGGTGGTCTCGGTGGAAATTTCGGTGGCAGTACTGGTAACAGCACATCACCCATCATCGAAGATTTAGTAGTCACAGTGCCACTACCAGCTGATGTACGGAATCTTTCGGAGATCAAAGCAAGTAGAGGCGATACAACATATAACCCAGGTGAAAAGAATCTGGAATGGCATATACCAGCTAGAGATGCGGTAGCAGGTGGAGCTACATTACGATGTACAGTTGTGGGACCGTTGTCAACCGAGAAAGAATATGATGGAAATGGTTTTAGACTTGATGGTGAATATGACTACGATACAGAAACATATCAAAGCGCTCCAGAGAAAGCAAAGGTAGAAAATGCTTCAAACAACGAAGGAAAAGATGCAAGGAAAGTAGCGCAGAATAAAATTCTGATGCCTAGCTCCGCAGCAGTTAGTTTCTCGGTTAAAGGGTGGCTGGCCAGTGGTATTAAAGTGGAGAGTTTAACAGTTGACACGAGAAAGAGTAGAGGGATTGGCGAGGGAGTTAAACCTTACAAGGGGGTTAAGTATTTGACGGTTAGTAGGGGTGGGATTGAGGTTAGGTGTTAAGCATTTTGGTCGCGGGCTAGGTGGATACAGGCGTCTTGAGGAGTATGCATAGGTATATTATAGGCATGAAGGCAAAGATACCATTCAATTGAATTGAATACAACCACAACATATCTAGGTATTGAAAATACGCGGTTGATCTCAACATCGTGCATATTGAAAATTTAATATTCAGGCTAACCAATAACAACTCCCCTCTATCTTCCTTCCTCCCTCCCTTCCTCCCACCCTCAACAACCTCACCTCACCCCTTCCATTTCTCTCATATCTATCACCTCACCTCCCCTCCCCTTCCTCCTCATCTCCTCCTCACTCATCGCACATACCCCTCCAAAATCGTCCGCTCCATATTCCCAATACACCGCACGGTCGGGGCGGCACTACCACTCCCAGCGCGATTATCCCGCGCCAGGAGCTCCGCGCTGCTCATCAGCACGTAGCCTTCGAGGATGGTCCGCTCCATTGTTTCCGATGCATTGGGGGCTGGGCTTGCAGTTGCTGGGGTACCGCGAGGAGATTGGCGGGTGTGAAGTTTTTTGCGGGCGCGCCCTGGCCTGCGCCTGCGCTTTGACGCGCTGTTTCTCGAGGGAGAGTGCGAGCCGTCGGGCGGCCGAGATGGTTTTGCGCGGCGAGTTTCTCTTTTGCGAGGTGCTGGCTTGTTGTTGTTGTTGTTGTTGTTGTTGTTGTTTCTGCTTTTGCTTTTCTTTTTGCTCTTGCGTCTGCCATGTGCTTTTGCGTCTGCTTTTTTCCGAGCAGTTGCAGCTGCGATTTCGGCTTCTTGAGCGGCGCGTTGGGCTTGGAGTTTTGTTGTTGGAGTTTGAGTTTGAGGAGACGGGCGGTTTCGGCTTTGCGGAGGGCTTCGGCTTGTGCTTGTGCTTGTCGTTGCCGTTGGGCTTCGAGTTCTTGTTGTTGGAGACGGAGAGTTTCTTGACGTTTACGCTCTTGCTCTATTTTTTCTCGTTCTCGATCTTGACGTGGCCTTTTCTTCTCGCGCAAGTTGTGCTTGATGTTCTCTTTCCGCTCGTTCTTTTTTGCATGCGTCGAGTGTTTTCTTGCTCTCGAGCTCGAAGTTCTTTTTCGGCTCGTTCTTTTTGGAGAGTATGATTTCTCTCTTGTTCTTTCTTCTCCCGCGCGAGTCGCTCTTCGGTGGTTTTACGGATGGATTCGCGACGGAGATTTTCTTCTCTTTCTTTTTCTCTCTCTTTTTCCTTTTCCTTTTCGCGCTGGAGTAAGAGGTTCTGTCGTGAAATACGATCGCGTTCTTCTTTCTCTTTTTGAGCTTTCTCGGCTGAGAGAGCATGGGCTTTCCTCTCTTGTTCTCTTTGGTGCGTTCTTCGCGGGCTCGTTGGGCGATGTGTAGCTTTTTTTGCTTCGGCGAGATTGCATTCTTCGATTTCTTTTGCTGTGGGAGATAGGGTTTTAGGAGCGGGCGAGGGTGATGATTTAGCTAGGGGTGTAGTTTTACGAGGTTCTCCCTACCTCGTATCTCTATCTCGCTCGGGTCTTGGTCTGTCTTCTTGAGCAGGAGATTTTGGTATCAACTCGAGCTTTCCTCTCCCCATCACCTCTATCTCTATTTCTCTTCTCCTCATAATCATCTTCCCCCCACCACTACTACGTCGTCTCCTTCGTCTCCTCCTATTACTTCCTCACCCCTCACCCTTTCCACCACCAACATCCCTTCTCTCTCTCTCTCCTCCCCTTCTCCTCCGTATCTCTACCTCCATCTCCATTCCCCGCCACACATTTCCCCAACGCCATAATTCCCCTCCCAATACTCTTTCGATTTCTTACTGAAAAGTCCTTGTTTTTCTTCTTTCTCAGGTTTATCACTCTTTCCCCTATCCACCTCTCTCGTTCTTCCTATCTCCACGCTCGGAATCATCGTATCGGGGAGTGGACCTCCTTTCTTGACGTCGTTTTTCATGATGTGCGCGGTGGCGAGCAGCTCTTTCTTCTTCGGTTTCGGAGGCTCGATGAGGGGGCTTGGGTTTGGGTTTAGGATGGGGGTCTTGGAGCGGTGGTGGAGATGGCCATCTTGTGATGTAGGGGAGAGGGTAAGAAATCCAGGGGGTGTGAAGGTGAAGAAATTTAATATCATTTCTTTGATGAGGAATGGGATAGTGGATAGTGATAGAGATATATTGGAAGAAGATACGATGTGAAATGATAGGAGTATTCGTGGGAAAATATCTAAGAAGAGAGTGATGTATGGTACCTTTATGATACTATTATGTTTTACATGTACATGTAGAAGCTGAGATAGATGTTGAACAAGATGAAGATGAAGAGAGAAATGTTCTCGCATAGGTAGAACTTATATATGTGTATTGGAAATCATATGATTTGATATGATGTGATGTGATATGATATGATGTGGCATTCATCTAGATGAATGGAAACGAAGATTTGTGAATAGGGTAAGGTGAGTGTGAGGATGAGGATGAGGATGAGAGATGGATAGAGTGGATGAGGGATCAGTGCTTTGGGTTGTTCATCTGAATGATTCTATGCTGTATATTCATTACTTGTGAATCTATAGGTTTGATTGGAAAGTACCTATTCATGTGAAGGAGGGTATAGTGTAACCCTATACTCTTGCAATCATGAGTAGAATACCACTTAATCATACTGTAAGTTATGATATAGTTATTGAGTATTGATATGCTTGCAATTCACATTCGTGGAATATCAAACGAACAATGATTGAAAATGAATCTACTGCGCTCTGTTCTATTCACTCCCCGGGGTATTCTTGATATCTGACAGATAATCTATCTTCTGAACAGCTCCTACTATTGCCGTTTCCTTATTGGTTCAACTTATGTGTATCTTGCGACATGTATAACCCGGGCGTTCATGAGCTTTTCTACTCCCTAGCCTCATCCTATTCATCACGAGATAATCCATCAAACTCCATATATGTAGGCAAAGATCCTCGTTTCAACCCATCTCGCTTGTACATATAATAGATACCTACAACCTTAATTTCTCAACTCATCCAAGCACCATTTTTCTCCAACTCAACCACTGCCTTGGCAAGTACCTTCGATATTCCCTCTCGCACCATTCTCCCCTTTTTGGCACCTTCTCAACACTTCCCGTACAGATCGCCATTCTCCCTGGCTCATTTCCCATCCTTGAAGTTCTATAAGTTGCCTTACTGTCCGATAGCCTAGGAAATCTTCTGGTAGCATCTCGTGTGCAAGCGAAGGAACTGCGATTGCGCCTTTGAGGGAAGATCCTGCTGGAAGGGGAGAGTGAGAAGAGTAGTATGATTGATTTGAGGTAGTCGACTTTGTTGCGAGAGGATTTCGTGATGTTCTTTTGGGACTCTCTTTGAAGGTGAGAGGGGGTGTAGGCTTCTGGTGTTGGAAGAGAAGATGCAGCTAGAGAATCGGAAATAGATGTTGATCGAAGAGGGTAGTAGTTGTAAAAGGACGGAATGCGGGGAGTTGGATTGTTTTTTGATTTTCTTCTCTTTTAGGCGAAGGAGGACGAGAAGGGGAAGGGATATGGAAATAATTTGAGCGAATAGGACGAGTTGTTGGCGGTGGTGGCTTGGTGTGGGGGATACCTTCCCGGTGCTTCTGGTTGAGGTTTATTCTTTAGATTAGGACTTGGAAAAAGGATCATTACTGCCGATAATCTGCTTTTGGGCGATGGTAATGGAAATTTTGATTCATCCCATTGAATATTTGAGGGCTGACCGCCATACGGAAAGATTGATGCTGATGGTGATTCAACCCTGATATTAGGTGGATGCGGCGGTGGTGATGGAAGAGGAGAATTTAATGGATGGAGTTTTGATGGTGAGGATGATCTTTAGACCGCGCAGCTCGGAAGTAATCGTAGTCCATCGAGTTTAGAATTCGTAGGTTGTAGGGTGTATGAAGGGCTGTGGGATGGTGTCTGCGAAGGAGGATATTTCCGAGGAGGTGGGTATGTGTTTGAAAAGTATGAATTCAATGTTTGGAGGACAGATGGTGATTGAAATGGCTGGGTGAAGGTGATGGTGTTGAGAAGTACGAATTTAATGATTGGAGAATAGATGATAGTGTGGACCTTAAAAAGTAAGGAACTGATGGCTGATGCGGTGAAGTTGATGTTGGAGTTGATTCGAGTATTGGCCTGGAACCCGAATCTGAAAGTTGAGACAAAAGGTATCTGTGAATGAATAAGCTTGATATTGATGGTGAACCCGAAGGTAATGGCGCATATGATGCTAGAGGATCTTTGAATGAAGGGTTTTGTCGAATGGGTGATTTTGGTTTGAATGAAGGTATCTCCTGAGAAGTAGGAGAAAACAATGGTTGATATGGAATCGGAGGCAGAGTTGTTGTTACGTGAGCAGGATTTAACGATCCAAGAAACGGCGATGAAGATAAAGATCTAGATGTTGGCCCAGTTCCCGGAGGTCGAACATACACGGTGTTTCGTACTGCAGGAAAAGAATGGGGCGTCAGTGAATGTCCATTTTGGATTCTCGGAGTAAAACGTACTGCAGTTGAAGAGGAATCGTATTCCATTCTGCGGTGGGAAGTTCTATCCGAATGTCTCAATAGGTTATAATCTCTTTGAAGATCTCTTCTAGAAGCGTCTCGGGGCGTAATAGGATATGAAAAAGCATCATAAGAAGCACTAATCGGTATTTCTGGCTTTCGTGCGGAATTACTGTGAAAGTTCGGGGATTTGAAAGGCGTTTTTGGCATCATGGGTCCTGGCAGTTCTCCAAGAGATTGCCTTCGTTGAAGACCTCTTAATGGACTATCTCGGACCAAGCTATCGTGGAACACCAGAGGTCTATCTGTTGGTTCTAATACCCCTGACATGACATAATGTTCTGGACTTGGATTTTGTGAAGGCAATGACTGGGGCGAAGATGTTGGCAGGTTGGGAATAGCATCATCTTGCTCAGCAAATCTAACTGACTTTTGCTTTTTCGAAGCTGGAGCACGCCAAAGTACTCGATCCTCAAATACGTTTTCCTCTGCTAAGTCCAATGAACTTCTACCGCGCTTGAACTGCTTGGTCTTCTGCTCATCTTCCTGTCTGATCCTTGAGCTTGAATTAATTGCATGGCCCGAGAAGCCAGGCGAGTTAGGATTCTGTTCCCACACAACAGCATTTACCGTTGCTTCATCCCCAATGCGACAGCTTTCCAATGTCTCATTATCTGCCAACTCTCTACCTCCATAAGATAATGCGCAGTCATAGCCGTAATGAGGGATGACTCCTCTCTTCAATAGTGAAGCAATGAATCTTGATTTGACAAGTAGTATGCGATAATTTGGACCGATGTTTCGTAGCGAATGCACACCAGTACCGGTCATTACATAGAGTATTTTACATGGCCTATAAGTTTCGTTGACGAAGGCCGAGTCATCTTCATCGTCATCCGAAAGTCCTGTACTCTGGGATGCGTTATATGCCATATTTTCGAGTTTATGATCGATTTTGAAGAATCAAACCAAAAGAGTGTCATCTAGTAGATATTGGAAGAAACTTTTCGTGGTAATTTTGAGATAGTAATACCCTTTGTTTGATAAGAGTTCTAAATTAAGAAGTTTGAGAATGCTTTGTATGTACTTAGCTTGGAACACCTCTTTGTATCTCAAAGGCTCCCAAGCTTCAACATTGTTTGATGATAGGTATTTATATCCGCCAATCAAGTTTTATGAAATAGGAAAAATACTGGCTGAGACCAAATTGGTGTTCTCGAACTTTGAAGCTATTTTTGAGCAAGTTGTGAATTGAGGGTAGTTGTGAGGTGATCATGAAAAAGAAATCAGCTCATTGATTATGGGTCCAATTGTCTAGACAACAATGAACTCCAAGTCAAAAGAGGGTTGATTATTGACAAGTAGAAACCAAATAATGAGGCCATGAGGAGATCGAAAGTTTTGAATTCTATACGGATTCACTATTCGACTTTTGGGAACAGTCTAGTAGAACTAGAATCTTACGTTGTTCATCTATGGCCAGAGTTTTGATTCGCGTTTCCATCCAATAAGTGCAGGGAGAACTTAGAAATCCTCCCATATTGCACTTATACTGTATACAGAGGTATGAAGAAGATTAGAATTGACAATAGATGACTAAAAGCAAAGTGAAAGCTCAAGTGCATTAATGATTCAATCGATATTTGTTTGATATAGTAGAGTCAAGCATGGAACAGTATGATTGATGGTGGTTAGCTTGAGTATCAAATCATTGCAGTATAATTGGCTATAATTACTTATTATTAGTAATCCTGTCCAAACGCATGAAGTCGAATGAACAGAATGGTACTGCTAGGGAGGTACCTGCCTACTTTGAATATCAATCTCAAACGAACAATCTCCAAGAAAGGCATACAATAACAAACTTGATTAGTACCCTCGCACCTCTGCCATAAACTTCACACCCCTTTTTCAGCAGGTAAAAGGTCTTATAGAATAAAAGAACTTATTTTCAAAACAGTTGATAGGTTCAAATGACAATTCACAACAGTTCATGAAGCTTGGACAAGAGGAATATTAGAAAGTTCTCAAACAGGGAATAATAAGTCTGGAGTAAGTGGCACATGCTCCGAGGACACCCGGAATTCACTAATAACCCCTTCACTCGAGATCAACAAAGTATCACACTTTCTTCCCCCGCACATAATCAAATCATTTCCCTTGAACTTACAACTAAACTCAATAATGTTCTGATTCCAAAGTGGAGAAGCTCAGAAATCTCTTCATACATCAACATTAATGATGGCTGAAAAACATCGTCGCCGCGAGCATCAAAACATCGCAAGTGGAGGAGGTTCATCATCAAGAGGAACACAACGATCAAATTCGTCACCAAGTTTCCTCAATTCTATTGACACACTTGGCGCACCACAAACATCCCTTGATGCTTCGTCATCATCACACCGACCACTTGGTACTCATTCTCCTCATGCGTCCTTAGCAATCTCGAGCAAAGTCAATGCTCCTGATGGTCCTGCCACTGGACGCGTTGGAAACAAACCAATCGTGTACGTACCAAAACCGTCGCAAGATGAAGGAAGAAAGGTCAAGGATCATAAGCCGGCAACCACTTCTAAGTCAGCCAGAGGAAGCTCGCCCACCCCTTTACTTGACAACAAACCTCAAGATACAGGACCGCTACATAATCTCAGGTATTTAAAGTGGTATATGAGACCTCGATCCAATGCCGAAAATCTTGAGCCTCGTGAGAGACAAGCTCAACAACACCTCCGAGGTCGTCTCAATAGAGGTGCGCTTTGTATAAACACTCACTTTCCTAAAGAAGATGAGGAAAGCTACAGTAAAAGCACGCAAGAAAGAATCGACTCTCCCAAGCCAAGCAGATTCAAAGAACCCTCTTCTAGGAATAAGATTCAGGATTCGACCGTAAAATCCGCTCCGAAAACCAAGCCGACTTCGACTACAAAGTCAAGTTCGACTACGATAACCACTTCTAAAGATAAGTATCAAGATTCGACCACAAAGCCTGCTGTGATAACAGAGTCGAGTTCAACTGCGAAGCTCACTGGAAATTTCAAGTCTGACGCTCCGCAAAAATCTCAGAATTTACCTTTGAAGCAGAACAATCAAAGGTCAGAAAAGTCTTATCGTCAACACAGAAGCCAATAAAGGCTGATACATTGTCAGAGAAGCTCCAGAATAATGCTTCAATTCCTAGTTCCGAGACATCACTTGCTACAAAGTATTATCGAGAATTATATCTACCTTCAATTGGACAAATTTCATGCATTAACAAAATAAAAGAACCTGTTGGTCCGGCATTGGAATCATTAGCCCCAAAGATGGGATCTTCTCTTTCAGCTCCAAAGGATTTGTCGTCAACACCGACATCCGCACCTGCTCTGGCAGAAGCAAAAGGTGGATCTGTCCTTACAGCAAGTTATTCGTCTGTGTCTGGCCCCAAAGAAAATACATCATTCCAAACTCCTGGTGCTGTACCGTATAATTTGACGCCTTCTCCTCCTGACAGTGGACAAGAAAGTGATTACCGTGGGCCATATGGTGGACGTTCAACTTCTCCGTCTGACAATGGTTTCAATATTGTTTCTGAGTCTCCCACGGCTCTGGAACTTGGACTGACTTCAGTTCCGGCCAATGAAAAGACCACAATTCAGGAAACTAAAGCGGCGTCTCCAGTTGCCGAAAAACACAGTCCCGACAGGCGAAATTCGATCGATACAAAGATGCAGGACACGGGAGGTATAGCACAGTCTCCGAAGGTTGTCAACCACGCGACTCCTTTGAATTCTGAAACTGAGAGACCAGGATCGCACATTCGGCCCGACGAAGAGATGCAATATTTGATTGATTTGACAGAACTAAACGTGATCACTGGTGCAGCTTCTCCGGCTTCCAACAACCCCACCGCACACACTCAATCTGACGAAGAAATACGGGACGCAATTGATTTGACTGGAGAGGAAGAAATGCGGGATGCAATTGATTTAACTGGAGAGGATGAACAGGTACAGAAATCAATTGAGCAGGACGAAGATATGCCGGATTTAATGGAAGATGCGCAGAGCAACACGGAGTACCGTCCAGGAAGAGCAAATGTTACGAGCTCTTCAATCTTCAGACCTGCCGGTTTCGCGGAATCGGAGGTAAGATCTGAGCCAGAGCCAGAGCCAGAAGCTGAAACTGAGGTTGTGCAACGTAAATTCGAAGAGCAGGTTACAATCGATTTAACTCTGTCTCGATCACCCACACCCAAGCTCGACGATTTGCCACGGCATATTAATCAAATCAGTGCTGACCTTGCCTCCTCCAGAATCAATCAAGTCGTCGCAGGAAGGGACCGGGTTTCTGCACATGAAAATCGTTACCAGAATAGTGATGGGCGCGCTACTTCTCCAGACCTTGTAGGACTTATGCCAAACGACAAGGCTCAAATTGATAATCCCATCAAAGACGAATTCTTTGAAAATCAAAATGAATTGCAAGTTGTTGCATCCCTGGAGGACAATGGACAAAGCAGCAAACCTGCAAACGACGGACTTCCAAGAAAAAGCTCCGGCCGTAACCAGAGAATTCCTATACAATCAACATCATCTGCTAAGCATGTTGGTGTCGTTCAATCCGAGACTGATGACTCCGTTGAGGCTAGTGCATCTGCTCAGGGCGACGCAATGGAAATTGATGAAAGTACTGAGATTGGCACACCCGTCGAGGCTGCTACACCTGGTGAAGCAAAAAAGAAACGCAAAGGTAAACGCGGAGGTAAAGGAAAAGGCAAAGGTAAAGGTGTTGCCAAGAGTGCCGATGATCAAAATACTATGCACTTCGACGATCGACGACTCGGTTCTGATCTCGCTCAGATTCCTAGCGATTCTGAGCAGGACCCTTTCAAAGACCAAAGTGATAGGATCATGAGTGAGGCAGAAGTCAAACAAGCAATTCTGGACGCCCTAACCGTTCCGGTCTTTCCAAAGGCTCCACCAAAATCTATGGTCACTGACGAGAAAGCTTATAAATTGGCCGAGGAAGGAGAATACTTTACTTTGTCGCATGCACTATTCAGTGTGGTTCCCAAGGAAGTGTATGACCGAGTTTGGAAGGATGAATACGAACGTCCACAAATCAGCTTGTCGAGCAAGACACCTAAATGGATTCGTCCTCTCGATCCTACAATTAAACACCCAGCCAAGCCGGAAACTGATTCTGCTGAGTTGATCAAGGTTTTATGCGAAATTGAGAAGTTATTGATTTCTGTTTGGATTGGAGTTGAGGCGATTGTTGTTGTATTGTATTCTGAGCTTGATGGTGAGTAACCCTTGCCTCTGTGAACAACTTCTTGCTAATAATCCCAGACAAATTTACCTCACGCGACCTCGAGGAGTATTTTCGTGTCTACCAAGTGCAGATCTACGATGGATGGACCGATCTTCATGCACACCTCGTCACATTGGCTGATTGGAAGGATCGATATTTTGCAATTACCAATATCAAGAAGCGAGCTGCTCGTCCCAACGCCGATCCATACGCTCGTCTTTTTACAATCAAGAACCCATCTGATCTACTCTTCTACGGAACCATGGAATATCTCAAAGCTATGCAAGCTGCAATGAAAGCTGCTCAAGACGCAAATGATTGTGTGATGATGAAAGGCCCCAAATGGAAGCATATGATCAAAATGGACAAAGCTGTTATGGGCAAGGAATTTAGCAAGTGCCTTGACGGATTGAGAATGTTTAATTCATACGTCAGAAAGAGAGACTGGGATGTTCCGGGTGCGCATGAAGATGACGCACTTCCTCCTATGATCGCTTCGAAGCTAGCTACCAAGAATGAGTCCAAGCAAGTCTCGTCTAAGGGGAAGGAAGTTGCTGTTGAAGATGTTTTCCAAGAGAAGTAGGACCTCCTTCTCCCGTAAGCATGGAAGATTAGACTGACATTGAATAGCTCTGGTGATCTGAGTGATGGCGATCCACCAGGATATTACGAGGCGCCATCGAAGTACAAGAGAAAGCAAATTGCTGTTGAGGATGATACCGAAGAGACGTAGGACCTCCTCATCCCACGAAGAGAAATTTTGTACTAATATCAAACAGATCTGGCGATGTAAGCGACGGCGATCCACCCTACTACGAGGAAGACGACGACAAAGACAATGATTACGTCGAGGCTCGTTCTCACCGCCGTCGCAGTGGCCCCAAGCTCTTAGTACAACCACCCACTCCTACTAACAGACGTGTTTCCGGTGCTATTGCCTCTTCGTCTTCTCGCCGCGTTTCATCAAGCAACAAGATGAAACTCGACAATGGAAACAAGGCTTCATCTACTGACTGTTTTTCTCGTCATCTTTCAACCAAGGATTGTATGAAACGAAACAATGGACGTGGAGCTTCATCCGGTAGTAATGCAATGGATTCGAGCGATGAATTTCCCAGAGGTCGTTCTCTTCACCGCGCCGGTTCCATCGCAACTCCAGCTTCTATGAAGACTGTCAAAAAAGGAGCAAAGCGACTTATGGTTGAGATCGGTCCGAGCTCGAGCCCCAAAGACCCCAGGGATTATTTCGAGACACCATAAAGAGGCCTCGTCAGATAATTTGTACTACAGCCAGTGCAGGATAAATTGTTATGAAAGATCCAAGAGATCTATGTGTCGTTGTGCTAATACCAAGGCCATTATCGGGAGTGATATGATAGTCTATGCTAGGATACGAAGATGATGTTCAACCAAAGTAGTCAAATTTTGCATATGGTGTGCCATAGCAACGTGGTTGGACAGAAATTTTGCCGACTTTTGTATTTCATAGCGGGTGTCTTGACAGTTGAGTTGAATCTTGACGTTTCATTCAGCCATCTAACAGTTTAGCTTTTTGGCTTTACTGTGAGGTTGGTTGCAAATAGTTCCACAGGATAGTCAGAATATCTTTTGTTTTCGAGACGTGTATTTTGCTTCATGATTGTGAAATGAGATGGCTGTGTCATGAGAAGCTTCAGAGTGACAAGCAGCTCTGTAGCCTGCCCAAAAACCCGCCTCGTTGCATCTGGGGATTCATATCAAATACGTGCAATGCAAATGTACACTCTGGTATGAGTTGCATACAGTATATCATGAACGACACAAAGTCAGCCCGCAAGGGCGACTGAGGAAATAGTATTTGTATTCCAAGGTTGTATTACAAAGTCCCCAATACCCCTCTCAAGTCCACCTGAGCTGAGCCAAAAGCAAATCAACTTTTCTATAGCACACTCAGCAAGCATATCATAGCATAGCAGAGAACTTTATCTATTTACACTTTTGATGGTACACCTTCATTCCATCTTCGCTTAACTACTCATCCCTTTCATTCATTGCATCTCGATACCTCATATACCCCTCAAAGTTCCATTATCCCTCTGATTAATTGGTGTATATCTCTCCTCAAGCGCCTGCTGCACACTCTTATCCAACTGAGATGGACCCTCAAATCTCTCTCTCAAAGCCCTCTCCATATCCGAATTCGCAGATTTGCTCGAACCCGACATAAGCGCGACCTTTTCCTCAATTTTCTGTTCTGCAATTCCGACTGCTGCACCTGCTTTTTGCGCATATCCTTTGCCGGCTTCGATGCCTCGAGAAACTGCATTGCGGATCCCACCACGAGCGGCATCAATTGTTCCTCCCGCTTTCCGTTCGATTTCAGGATACGAAGGAATTCTAGCCTCTGCCTCCTTCAGCTTTTGAGAAGAAGCATCAATCGCTCCCCTTGTTCCAGCAACACCTCTTTCAACGCCCGCCACAGCGCCCGTAGCGACTCTCTTTGCGTCCTCTCTGGCCTCCTCCCTGAAATCTCTCAATTTCTCCCCGGCGATCTCTTCTCCATATTGAATACCCTCTCTGCTTCTCTCCAATCCCAATCCTAGTGCCCTGCTAACCGCGCCTTCCATTCTCCATCTCACATCTTCCCAATCCGTCCTCTGGACCCACCGAACTGAATTCTCAATCTCGGCATTCCACCTATCCTTTGCAGCTTCAATAAGCGTACTTCTTTCTTCGCGGGCGAGTTCTGAGCGCGATTTTGGGGGTGGGATGGGTTGTTTTTCAAGGAGGGAAGTCAGGACTTGGGATTGGTGGTGTAGGTGGAGGGATTGAGAAGCGCGGTTGCGTTGATGTGCCAGGACGGTTAGGTAGGCCAGAGAGAGAGTTAGGGTTACGCCGCCGGTCTTGAGAATATGTTAGTTAAGTCTTCATGAATTTGTAGAGAGCGGGGAGCTGGTGCGAGAAAGCTAAGAGGGGAACCATACAAAACCAGTAGTAAAACCCATATTGTCTTACACAAGTGCGCAGACAGCGCTGTTTGGTATTATAAAAGACCACTTATCTCCCAAAATAAACAGGAGAAGAAAAAATCAATTGTCAAATTACCAGCCCGTAAGAGCGTCGTGGGATGGAATTATGTAGGATAAATAGTATGTCGTTGATAGAAACAGATAAAGAAATGCCCTCCACCAAGAATTTTGACGTTCGTCGTCACGGCCCGAAATCTCCAATCTTTCGGCCTCGCCAAAAGTTTTCCGCCTCGTCTGTGTTCCTCCCCTCTCCCCTCCCTCCACCACATAAATCACCTACGACCACTCTCCCACCTCTTCCGTTTCCCCTCTACCAAAATGGCAGGCGGACGCATGAAATATCGCCATCTTGGCCGCACCTCTTCGCATCGTCAAGCGCTCCTCAGAAACCTGGTCACTTCCCTCTTCACCCATGAATCCATCTCAACTACATATCCCAAAGCGAAGGAAGCGCAGAGATTAGCAGAACATTTGATTACATTAGGGAAGAAAAACACCGAGGCTTCGAAGAGAAAGGCATTGAGTATATTTTTTGTAAGTTCTCGACTGTATTTCCTGGGAGAGATTGATTTCTTTATTTCTATATAAAAATATCAATGCATTTATATAAATACTAATCCACATCCAGACCCCCCACGATCTCCTCCCCAAACTTTTCGGACCCCTCCGCGAGCGATATGCTTCGCGCCCTGGAGGCTACACTCGTGTTCTCCGTATCGAGCCTCTGAAAGAAGACCAAGCACCCTCCGCTATTCTTGAGCTCGTCGATGGTCCCAAGGATACCCGCTGGGCGATGACCGCCCGAACCGTTGCGCGATTCCGTAAAGAGAAAATCCCAATGAATGATATTACCGAGAGGAATATTGAGAAAGTAACGCAGTTTCGCGAGGGGGGAGAAGAGGCGTTCGAGAGATTTGTGTCGAGGGTAGGAAAATTGGGGTTGGGCAGGGACAAGAAGAGAATGGATGTGCCGTTTGATGGGACAGGGGAGGAGGGAGTGTTGGAGGGGAAGAAGAAGAGGGAGAGGAGGTGGGGTGGTTTTATTTAGGAGATTGGCCTGGGCTGGATGGATGGATGTCTGGACAGACTGGATGTGGTTTCTTGGTAGACTGGTATCGGGATAGGACGGAGGAATCAAGGTCTAAGTGCTTAAATGCGGAGGAATGTACAAATTAAAGACTTGAAGTCATGCGCCACAGCCAACGGGACATCTATTCTTCTTAAGTTTTCTCGAAGCAAAGATGCGTCCTTATTACGAAAACCAATGTCTTCAAGCGGATATGGAATATGGGACGAGGGTTGACAGAAACCCAATCAAAGAAAATGGTCATGAGCAAATTGCGTTCATAAAGTACCAAATGTGTATTTATAGAAGTATGGTTTGCATATTTCCATGGAAAAGGCGTTTTCCATATCTAGGTATATTACAAGAAAAGATAGCAATACCTAAATTAAGTAAACTAGAAAGAGTATTATAAGAAATTAAAAGTATCGCCTTTCTCCTTGATCATTTTGTTCACTCTTTCCGTGCCCGCAATTCTTTCCAACTTCATACTGTCCCATTTTGAAAATACAGCCCGTACAGTTCCATCACCAGGTTCCAAATCACCTTCTCTCACACTTCTGCCCAAATATCCTCCTACTATTTCCTTGTAGAAGATTGGATTCTCGGGTATTCCATACATGATAACTTTTTTGACACCCCTAATTTGATATCTTCGGAAATGATGTGCTCTTTCTGTATAAAGTAGAACATTGTGTCTTCCACTGAAGAAATGGGATCTGGCTCTTGCTACTTCTTTAGGTGTTGTATATTCTGATATACTGCCGAATGATAAACTGCTCGTGGTAGCTGATGTTGAGAAATAATTTCTTACTTTAACAAAATCCATGTATGAAGGAATGAAGAGGAGAGTTCCTGAACTATCCTTGCTTCTACGGGTCAAAGTAGGAATTATTGCTGATGTGAAATATTCGAAACGTGATTCTGGATCCGAGGCAATTGATTCTGTGTCAATTCGGGAAAAGGTTTGCTTAACCTTTAATCCCAATTCTTGAATAGCTCCTGGATACGTAGAGGTGACTTTGGCTTTGCCTTCCCAGTTTTGAGACTGGGTATAAAACATAGTTTGAAGCTCTGGTGTGTTGAAACCCGCCAATGCAATAGTTTGACGGAAGTATTTGGCATTGTTGTCCAAATACCAACTTCGTACACGACTGAAATCGCAGCCATGAGCTTCCTTTGGCTGAAGGTTGAGATGGTCGAAAATGAATTCCACATGCTCCCAGTTCTGCATGAGAAGAGCATCTGCTTGATCAACAATAACCATCTCAATCGAACTGAGAAAGTCATGGTCTACTTTCTTCGCATCTTCATCTCCAATGGCCATTCTCAGACCAAGAGGACTTGCAAAAATGATATCAGAATTGTAGAATTGAGAGAAATACTTGATAGTTTTTCTAGTAAACTTCAGACCAAGACGGAACATGTCATCGTCGTTACCTGCAAAAAGTTCCCGGAAATCTTCTGGTTTATCAGTAGAATAATTCTCTTCTTTATCGACGAACGAATCATTGAATCGTTTTCGATTTTCTTGTTGCTCTGGCTCGCACAGTGAAGTGATCATATCAACCATTCTGACGCAAGATTCGCGAGTAGGTAAAAGCATCAGAACCTTAGGCCTTGTGAAACCTTGATCTCGAAGTTCTAGATCATCGCTACTATCTTCTCTGGCAAGGCGAGAGTTATTTTTGATAACACGGTCTCGGGTCCTGAACATGTTAGATTGGGCTTGCATAGTAACAGGTGTTTGACTTACTTGAACACATGATTGACAGCATGAAGACAAGTCAGTCTTCTCAGACTTTCTGCATTAGATGTGTTGCGTTCAGTGAATAGTAAATCTTGATAGCCAAATACAAGAGGAGCTATAGACTTTTCCAATGCATCGAAAGTAGGGCGTTGTTTCTTAATGACGTTTGCTAGCTTTTGTTTCAACTTGAGACCATCTGGATTGCTGATAGTCATTGCCTTCATAGCCCTAGGCTCACCGTCACCGGGGATACTAGTAATAGCCGTTCCAACATTTGCAAGTGATGACATTCTCAGAGCCCATTGTCCTTTTACCAGATGTTGTAGCCTTCTTGACAATATGTTGTCGTCTGGGTTGGCAAAATGAGCTTCGAATGGATCCGCTTTGTCTTCTTCATCATCCTCCTCGAGTACACCCTCTGTTGCAGTTTCGGGACCTTCCTCTTCCTCCTCAACCAGATCCGCATCGTTCGTATCCTCGTCCACTAAATCCGCGTCTTCGTCTCCTTTTTCCTCCTTGTCAACATTGAGCTTCCTCCGTTTAGCTTGTGGTGCCAAATCGCGAGTAAAACTCTGCATCAAAGCGGTATAGGACTTTACAGCTGGCACTGGCTCATCATCATCATCATCGTCGTCGTCGCTAGATTCCTCTTCACTTGCTTCATCCTGGCTTGGTTCTTCGGATTCAGAATCACTTTCTTTGTCCCTGTATATATGAGCCAATTGCCTTCTCTCAACAATTGAGGAATACTTACTCTTCCTTTTGTGCTAATCTAGCACTGTCAAATACAGGCCTTCCTCTACCTCTGCCTCTTCCTCCCCTCATTCCACCCCTTCCTCGTGGACCACCCCTACCACCTCCTCTACCTCTGAAGCTACTTCCACTGCCACCACCACCGCGACCTCCTCTAGATGTATTCCTTTGCCCAAATGCCATTTTTGCGTTGTAAAATATTAATGTAAATCGCAGTACTCAATGGCTAATGCTCAATGGCTGGTACAAAAAAAGTTCTGGCGAATCCTTATCTTAGCGTCATCAGGGCTCAGGAAAAAAAGTTCTGGATCAAAGATCATGAGCTTTCAAATCAATGCTATTGTCGAGAACAATATTAAGAAAACTTTCGATATACCCCTCTCAGATAGCCAAACCTAAATAATCTACTTATAATTATTTCCAGACTTTAATCCAGAACTTGACCACATTATAACTAAAATCGAGGGGAAATTCTTTACACTTTTAACGAAAGCTTATCTTAGCGCGAAATTAGATCCTTGCGCCGCGCCCACACAAAAATCCCACTTGCGCAACTGGTTTGCAATCGACGACGACGAGCCCATCCCCATCTCAGACCCTACCACCAACACTCGTCCGCCAGACTCGATACCGAATAATTTTTAGCCCAGCATGGCAGTCGGTACACAGTCCTTCCTTCACCTCGCGCGGCCACTCGCCCCCGCTTCCATTGGTGTTCAGCCCACAACCGCACCTTTAAATGTCATAATTCAACCCCAAGTACGATATTTTCCCTGGCCTAAAACTCTACTCTGCAGAGACTAATCAGTGCAAAAATAGGCCGTATTCTCGATTCTCGACCATGCCATCCGTCGCGATACCAGTGTGACACAAACCCCCCGTGTTATCGGAGCCCTTCTCGGAATCCGTTCTGAAGATGGTATGGAATGCGAAGTCCGCAACTGTTTCGCCATTCCCCACACCGAGACCGAAGACCAAGTCGAAGTCGACGTCGAGTACCAAAAGAACATGCTGGCTTTACAATTGAAGGCCAATCCTCGCGAAGTTCTTTTGGGATGGTATACGACCTCTCTTGAACTCAACAGCTTCAGCGCCTTGATCCAAAACTTCTTCGCCAGTCCTGAGACCGGTACTTTCCCTCACCCGGCTGTTCATTTGACAGTTAGCACCGAGGCTGGAAAGGAGATCGAGGCAAAGGCATATATTAGTGCACCTGTTGGTGTAAATGCTGAGAGAGCAGCTGAGAGCTGTCTTTTCATCCCAGTACCATATGAGATCCGATATGGTGAATCTGAGAAGAGTGGTTTGGAATTAATCTCTGGCGCCAAGGATAGCGAGAGCCGTGCTGCACCAGTAGTTTCTGATATCGAAGGTCTGGAGCGAGCCGTTGACCAAACTCTTGATCTTTTGGAAAGAGTATCCGAATATGTCAGTTCAGTCTTGGACGAAGAGAGAGAGCCATCAAATGCTCTTGGTCAGTTCCTCATGAACGCATTGTCCTTAGCACCAAAGGTTGATGCTGCAGATATTGAACGTGACTTCAACAACCACATCCAAGATGTCCTGGTCGTATCTTACCTCGCCAATACCATCCGCACCCAAATCGAACTTTCTCAAAGATTGGCAACCGCAACTCTTACCATGGGAGGCTCGGATGTTCTTGCCGCAGCCAGCAGTGGAGAAGGAGGAGAGAAATCCGAGCAACGTGGACAGAGAGGTGGTAAGCGTGGAGGAAGAGGTGGTGGTAGAGGAGGCGGACAAACACGAGAGCCAAGAGAGCCCCGGGAACCCGCTGAGTAGTAGACGATGATAAAAATAAAGCCTTTCCATAATTTACAGACTTTGTGCATGTGGATGGAAAAGTATGGCGTTCAGGTAGGCTCTAGGCCAATTCTTATAGAATTTCAAAATTATGGTTTCTGTCATTGTGTGTGTTACTATGATCAACGAAGTTTAACGCGCAATGTAGTTTAGCTGCTAGTTGTCATGATACTAGACAGTGAAGTAAGGAATTTCAAGAAATGGCACACCACATAACACACAAGAGTTTCTTTCCACTCTCAGCAAAACGTCCTAGTGACCAGGAGATGCCAGACGACAACCTATCAAAACGTGATTAAACACAGTGTGAGCTAACACTCATAGAGCCTGAAACTTTGATATAAGCAAGAATATAACGATAGGATCCGGGAAGAAGGGGAGAGACAGGAGCTTCTTCAGAAGCAGAAGAGCGTGCTCCACTCGCCCCCTCTTCCCCCTTCGTTTAGCACCTCTCTTTAGAGATATAGTCAGTGCTGTATCATTGAACTACAAACTACACCGGCCAATCAAATCACTTCAACTACCATTTGCTAGCATGCTCAAGCTTTGAAAGCACTTCACACAACTTCGATCTCAATCACATTCTTTTCTGCCTCTAGACAATGCCCCCAGACACTTTCACTACTGTTTATCGTACTTCGTACATACCTCGGTACAAACATGAAGTTCCAGGTAAAGCATTCATATCATGCACTTGTTGAGTGCTGTAAAAATCAGTGCAAAATAAATAGTGTAATCAGATGTATTGTATTTGTAATCATAGGTCTATCAGCCAATATAAACCAGGTACTTAAATGACTTTCGTTTTAATGCCCATATTTCCCACTAACTCCACCAATGCTACCATACGCCACCGTTTATTCATCACAGAACATATCCGCAATCCTCAAAAGACACCTAGACACCAGTTGGAGGCTTTGGAGGTAAAGTTGCTGGGTTGCCGAAGTTGGGAAGGTGGCTTCCAACTTGACCATTTGGGACCATGCCCTGTGGCATTCCTGGTGGCATACCATGTGGCAAAACTTGCGGTAAGCCTTGAAGGTGACCCTGAGGAAGGCCTTGTGGAAGACCTTGCGGCATATTCTGATGCATCATTGGCCTATGCGCCATATGTGGAGATGCATGATACGACGGCAAAGAGCTATTAGACCCTTGTCTCGCCATGCTATAGCCCATTCCAGCACCGTACTGTTGCTGAGGTGGAGAAAAGTTACTGTAAGAGAGATGAGGAGATCCATGGTGTGGGGAACCGTGGTGAGGAGATCCATGATGAGACATGGGCTGCGAGATAGGAAGACCTTGATTGCCAGGGACAAACGACTGCGTCTTTGGATTAAATGCGTGTCTATTAATAAAACTTCCTGGAATTGGGTGTTGACTTTTAGGATCGGCCGGGTTTACCGTGCTGGGCAGTTGTCCAAAAGCGTACGGGATAGTATTAGGTGGTCCTCCTGCAACAGGTCCTCGCGATGGATATTGGCCTCCTGGATATTGATTTTGTGGGATCCATTGCTGCGGAGGTTGAGGAGACTGTGCAGGTGTACCGTAAGTTGTGATTGGAGCACTGTGTGGTTGGTAACGTGGTTGACTTTGTTGAGGAAATTGCTTATGTAATGTCAGTAAAAACAGTATTGTCATTAAAAAATGATTTGACTAACCGGTGGTGTCATGTTATTGTATGATTGCATATTTCCATTGCTCATCATAGCAGGATTAAATGGTTGCGGCGGTGGAGCATATTGAGGTTGCATTTGATTTTGATAATTGTTTGGCATGACACCATTGTATTGTTGAACTCCCATTGCGCCGAAATTCTGGGTGGGGATCCAAGCTGGCTGGTTTTGTTGTTGTGGAAAGTATGGAGTGTATTGGGATCGGACGTCGAAGCTTTCAGAGTCATCACGACGCTGCTTTCCAACTTTGCCCCTCTTGCCTTTATCCTTGGTGGAGACAGAGCTGGAACGCGACATCTCGTTACCCTCGTCGGTTTCTGTCTTACAATTAGCAATCCGATAGGATCTCAAGGAAAATTCTTTGGAAACTTACCTGGTGTGGCCTCGCCAGATTTATCATCTTTGCCGAAAATTCGTTCCCGGGCCGCAAGATAAACTGCTTCTCGCTCCTCTCGCGAAAGTCTTTAATCAGAGTCAGTCTCAAGTCAATTGAAGGGATATCAGATATAATACTTCTCTTTAGCGGACTGTGCCTTTTCTTTGCTATCGCTTCCAGTCTCGGAAGTAGCTTTGGAGGGGCTCGGTCCAGTATCACCATCACCACCTCTGCGCATGATCTTCATTGCAGGTAGATTGGGAGGTGGGGTGTTTCCAGTGGTAGGAGGATTGGAAATGCTTGTTAGTGATGGCGGAATCCTACAAAATGGTGTTCGGAAGATACGGACTGCTCCAACTACAGCATCAACTTGATGTGTCATGTGGTAGTAATCCGCCAACTTGTGAGTTAACATTCTACAAAATGAGTTACATGGTGGGAGATCAATAAAAGGTTCCCTGTGAGTGTATTAGTTAGGGTAGTAAAAATGGTCGTCCAGAATTTGAAACTAACTTGGAATCTTTCACAAACTCAATAACATCCTTTTCGAGACGAAGGAGAAAGATGCGGTCTTTTGGCGATTCCAATGCCTCCAAAAGTTTTTCATCGGGCGTCTGACGATAGAAGAGTGTGAATGCTGCTTCAGTTGAACCTGATGGGCCTACAAGCGGCTTGGATTTGTCATCCGTGGTTTGCTGTCCAGACGATCCACTTTGAGGAGTAACAATGCCCTGAGTTTGACGCTCCTGCATGAGTTGTATACTACGTCGATCAGGGGCCTCATAGAACTGTGCACGATAAGCTCTTGCAGCTGCTTCAGATCCAATTCTAGAACCAGCAACAATAGAACCGCGACCCGAAAATGTATCATCATCTTCGGCTGCTTTTACGCTCGCACTGTCATCAGGACGTAAAGACTCCTTCTCATCCAAAGCGAATGTTGTGCCTGAGGTAATGCTCTTTCCATCCAAACTTGGAGGCTTCGTTCCTAGGTCGGACCCAGATTCTGTTCTCTGAAATGGATCTTCTGGAAATCCTTCTCCAAGGTCTCGTTTGTGGGTAGGAGGTGCAATCCCTGAGCCATTAACAACAAGGCTTGGTGTGATATCACGGATTTGCATCGCTTTAACCGCATCTGCCAAATCCGATTCCTTCTTAGCAGCCATAGGTTTGCTCTCGGTAATTGTCCTCTTCTTTGAGGATTGATCGTTTGTCGATGTACCCGTCTCTTTGAGAGTGGTCATATTGCCAGTATCATTGCGTGTAGCACTAGGCATGTTTGTATCTTTGTTTTCGTGTACAGTTGGAGCTATGTTCTCAGATCTCGTATCTCGTACAGAAGTTGAAGAAGCAGCAATTTTTGCGAACGAAGCGAGAGCTACATTATCTTTCCCAGCAGAGGCGGCAACCTATCGATGATGTTTGTTAGCAAAGGACTTAGATATGATAGAGAAGCCAAAGTCCACCAGCGACAAGTCATCAAGTGGGCTGAGGAATATCCAGTGGAGTTGCGCACCTTTGCGAATGACAGCCTCGATGGATCTGTCGTCATTGGCGCAGTAGCCATGAAAAGTATGTTTTAATTGTAAATCAAATCGCGGAAATGAGCGTATATGTCCAGATTGGACAATGTCGAAATCCCAGGTTGGCAGAGGGGTTGTCGAAGAGTAATACCTTTGGAAGTGATGTAGATTAAGGAAGTAGATTAACAAAAGCGTTCAATGGAAAGAATAGACATCTGGTCATTGTCGTTGGGACGACAAGCTTTTGTAAAATAGTAATTTGAATTGAAGGTTTCCGTCCTTTTAGAAGATTCGTTTCGCGGTACCGAATTGTATGGTGGAATACCTGATGTGGTTTTTGGTACAACCCACTTCCTTCAAAGATAATTGATACGCCGATACTCCTATTGCCGACAAACTATTTTCCCTTTCCAAATAAGTCTTGGGTATCAATACACGGAGAAGTGTTTGCCTGAATATCTGATATTCCGTTGGTATAGTCGGGATAAAAAAGTCGATGTTCACATACAGGAGATCTCAAGAATCTCCAAAGTGCATCATCAGATTATTGGGAAATCAAATCAAGAGATTGATTGATTGTGCTGGCCGGGTGGTGTGGACGTTCATTGCAAGAAGTTTAAGGCTAAGGCTCCCCGAGAATTCTTTAGCGGGAATCCTGAATTTAAAGTGGGGCCATGGTTATCGACTACAATGTGAAGGAATTCTTATTTTGTGTAGATGGAAGAGGAGGGAGAGGAAGAAGAGGCCGCCGATGAAGGTGATGATGATGATAGCGACGATAGGAAACATTTACAAAAAGAACAGCAGCATTGCACAATCCCCATTTGACGCAAAACTATACTTAAGTACACAAACTTTCCTTTCCAAGGTTGTTTGCTGAACTCCTTTTCTTGAACTACCTGGCACTCTATTTCATTGGTGGTGCACAAACATTGATCGGATAAGGTCTATCGATAAGTTACTTTTATTTATATCTTGGTGAAAGCTCATTTGTAGCTTCTGAGGTTCCCAGTGTCATCTATACACATTCGACTTTACGAGTCAAATCCACACTCTTAAAATACCCTCTTCACTATCCACTTACAACACCACCATCACAACAACAACATCGTCAACACCATCATTGCCATTGCCGTTGCCATTCCTATCATGAATCGCTACCATGGGATTAACAGGCCTGCCACTATTGGGGGTCCTTCAAAAGCATCCGCTACAACTACGTGCCAAAAGTGCCTCAAAAAAGATATGAGTACCTGTTGGCTTACTTTCGATCTTCACAGCTAACTGTCTATTACGACACTATAGTTATGAATGCAAAGCAAATGCGCAAGAACGTCCATATGTTTCTCGACCCTCTCGTACACAACAGCTTTCCAATCCCAAGCTTGTTCCAAAATTGACAAGTGATGTGCCACAAGATCTTTTGACAAAGTACGTATTCCTTCTTGCACACGCCTTTATAATTGCGGTTCCATCTTTTTCCCTAATGGCTCCCCATCTATTAGTCTGGAAGGATGTTGTCAGGCTCTCAGTTCTCGTTGAGTCAATTGGGACATCGCATTTTGGGGGGCGCGCTTCAGATCAGAGCATTTGTTCAAAGTTTAGTCTACAAGGGGGCTACGGCTTTGTGCTGACTACATATCATAGGAAAGGCATTGCCGATGAGCAGCTTGCGAAATTGGAGCAGGAACGAGGTCGCAAACGCGAGAGACAAAATGAAGACATGGAAACGGGAGCTTCTAAGCGAAGAAGATCGGCTTCTTCAGCATCGGTTTCGACAATATCTACAAACATGTCACGTTCGCCCTCACCAAGAGAAGCTCGACGCGCACCGAATACATACAAATCTAGACGTTCCCATTCACCACCTCGACCTGCGTCCAGTCGATACAAGCGTAGAACTCCTAGCTTGTCGCCGTCGCCATCACCGCCCCGACAAGATATACAGAACTCGGGACAAAAGCGGAGAAGAGACGCATCCTCTTCCGTAGATTCATATAGCTCTAGAGACGAGGAAGATATGAGAGATTCGAGAGAGAGGGGAAATAGCCGAAGTACCAGAAAGAGGTTCAACGATCGAAGCCCTGAGATTCGTGGGAGAAGGACTCAGAGTCGAAGTCCATATAGAGGTAGAAGAAATGCCTCAACTGATAGGAGACGATTTGATGAGCCTCGAGTCAATGAAGGGCGTAGAGAGACCTTTGCGTCCTCTGCAGCTCATGCACAACCACCGAGAGAGAGGAGCATGAGCCCTTTTAGCAAGAGATTGGCACTAACGCAAGCAATGAATATGGGCCGGTGAGCGTTCCGAGGGAGGAAGTGGCAGAAAATATTTGCGCGGTTATGAAATACCCCTTGGCTATCTGCCAATTTTTGTATCTATAAAACTTAGGACGCCCCTACGCCTCATACTATGCCTGCCTTCATTTGAACGCCTTTTGTACAATCAAGTAATATCTCGAAGGTGATCTTATTGTAAATCTTCATCTTCCTTCTCCCGTCGCTCTTCCTCCTCCTCCTCCTTCTCCCTCAGCTTGACTCCCTCCACCAAAGCAACACCTTCTATCCCAAGCTCTTCTCCACCCTCACTTGCACTTATTGCGCCTTTCCCACCTTTCATTCTAGCCGCCTTTTGCGCACTCTCAATCCGTTCCCTCACTAGCCTCGCGATCGCATTCTCCGTCCGCACATTCAATACTTCCATTTTCTTCTCGAGGTCCCTCTTTAAATCCCAATTAGGTTTCTTGGGTTGCAATTTGAATAAGTCTACCCCCTTATCATCCTGCTCCTCTTCTTCGGCTTTCTTCCTGATTTCCTCCTCAACCTCTGCAGCCTGTTGTTCAAGTGTAGGTTTTTCGAGTGCTAATGTGGGAGGGGCTTCGAAACCAAGCTTGGGACCTTTAGTTTCAGGGTCGTAGTTACGTCCCGAGAGATGAAGCTTCGCGACGTCGGGGGAGGCAGGTGGTGAAGGTGAGCGCGTTGATTCTGGTGCTACAATTTCGTCGGCTGGTTGCTTTCTTTTTAAGGATTTGAGCTTTGCAAGTCGCGCTTTGCGCTCATCTGCGGCGGCGCCTAGAGTGGCATGTGTAGATGACATTTCCGGGATTTATATGATGTGATAATCTGGACGTGTAGCTGAATTGAATATTGTTGTATGTTCCAGTTACGGACAATTGAGAAGTTCAAATCAAATAAATCTACGTCGTACAGCCGGGAGAGATATTGAAGTTCTAATGCGGACTTTGATTGGCTCACGGTAACCTCAGCCTGGTCATACCCCGGCCGCTAAGGTAAACCTTAATTTTTTTCCCGGGCCCAAATTTTAAAAGTGTAGCCCTCTCTTTTACTGCCAACTGTATAAATTGCCAGTCAATGGATTAGAAAATGCATGCCGGCAGCTGATGCCTCCATTTTCGAACTCTCTACTAAGACGATGGTCGCCATCGGAACTGCCAATTCTTCCGTTCCTTGCACCGAGAGTCTTCCAGCCATGGCCCTCCAAGGGTGCCAGAGTTTATTTGAAAACGAAAACGGGACGAAACCAAGGCCATGACAGGCGCGCACGATCGCCAGTTGAGAGGGGGGAAGACAGATTTTCAAATTGTCCGGGAGATTCATCACCAAATGTGCTAGTGCAACCCAAGACAAGATATGCCAGATTCAGCAAACGACGAACGACCCCCACTTCCTTCGCCCGCATAGACATACCTGATCATGGGTCTATCAGACACTTCTCTTCGCAGGGTAATTTTGGGAGGATAAGTGAGAGTAATGGGGATGGGCCGTCGTCTGAAGACCACTCAAAAGCACCATACGAATCAGGATTCAAGGGACCGTTGGAGTGTCAGCCGAATCCCGCCGCATCAACTCGTCAAGACTCGGAGAAAAGAGAAGATTTCATGAATACAAGCTCTTCATTGAGACCTCGTCGCGTGCGATCAACCGCATCATCGTTTTACCGTCCAAGCATACATCTTGAGACACATCGTGTGCCTTCTAGACCGGGAGCACTCCACTCGCGATCAAAAACTATTTCCAACGAGATCCATTTGTATAATCAGGATGTTTTTACGCCGTGTAATACCAAGCCGAGTCGCTCTGGAATTTCTACTGCTCTTCCTCTACACAAGTTGTCAAAACTTATCCCTCAACAACCTTCAACAACCTCACCTCTTTCTCCACAGATCAAGTTACTACCGGAAAAGTCTAGCAATGAAATCAATTCATCAGATCAGTCTGTCGCCGTTGCGGCAACGACAAAATTCACAATAGCTCATCACAGGTCTATCAGGGATAGATCTGAAAGACAAGATCCGCCGGTCACAGGGTCGCGCGTCAAAAATAACCTTCTGAGAAGGTCACTTTTTTTCCGAAGACCTAGTGGGTATAAATTTCTTAGTGAGAATCACCGACAACCGAAGGGTATAGTGTCCGTCAATAGGAATATCTCTTTGAATCGGCGACGCCTACACTCTGAGCGCATCACAACTGATCCAGGATTGCGCCAGGAATTGGTTGCTCATTATGAACTTTGGGCCCAGCAACAAGGCCTTCCAGAGCTCTCAACCAAATATCTCAAAGTAAAAATGGGTGCAGGAGCGAACATCATGAAGTTAAAAACGTGGAAGTGGTCTTCCCAATTTGCCATTATCAACCAACGACACGAAGATGCTTTGAAGGGTTTTCCTAAGTTAAAGTACAACAATGTTGCTGTGTCGAAGTTTCCACTTGCATCGAGGTTACTATTCATAAAGCAAGACAACGTCGCTGCCCTAGCTGCCATTTGGCGTCGAGTTCCCACAGAGATCCGTTCTCATGTTTGGGAGGAGCTTATGCTCACAGCGATGGACCAATATCCTGCATCTACTCTCAAGTTACTACTTGCAACATATCAAGCACCATTGTTTCCACCTGGATGGGCCGCAAATGACTGCCTCGATTTTGCAGTATCTCATTACTTTGGGTCACAAGAGCACAAACCCACTCCAGAATCTTTCACTTCCGAGGATCTTCGACAGATATTTGAGAGTGTACAATATCTTCAGCTTCGCGGTCTCCGGCTGAGTGCGCGCTCAATCTACTTGTTGCAATTAATGATGAATGACCAAGAATTTAAGACTTTCTATCACATACTAACAGGCACAAGACAGCATCTCACTGGCAAGACCTTACTACGATTTGCCTATCGTTTTGCACGGTTTCGTCAGACAGATATGGCTTTCCAAGTACTGCAGCAAGCAACTCGACAAGGCATTGATCTAAACCTTGGAAGATGGCCACAAATCTGCAATGTGCTTCTTACCGGCAGATATCGTGACTATGATGCACATGTTACTGATACAGAACTTTTTGATTTCATGCTACATCACGGTCTGAAGCCTGGGATTGTTACATACAACATCTTGATACAAAATTCACTTCAAGCTGGGGACCACCTTACGGCGTGGCAAATCTATGATATGATGATTGAAAATCGAGTAATGGCGGACGCGTATACTTATTCAATCATGCTAAATGACGCCAAGATTCGTGGGGATGACGTTGCGGTCGAAAAATTGGCGCATTGGATGAGCGAGGACAATGTTCGAAACAGTTATACTGTCACAGATATATTAGACACAATATTTCGCTTACACAGACGAGAATATTTCAAGCGCGCCCCCAGTGAGAGAAGATCTCTTCCAACCCCGTTCTCACAGATGCTGCCAATCTATATGAAGAACTTCGAGGTGGAACCATTGGCTCAACTCATACCTAGATTTCATGAGAATTTCTTAGATCTGGGATCGATGAATCCTGACGATGGCTTAGATGACATCCACCATGACATCCAGGGTCGTGTGGAAGAAGACACACATCATCTCGACTTGTCTGTTACAACCCAACCCGAAACTGCCATACCACCCCTCGAGTCCGCTGCCGAAGACGCTCTTCTAGAACCGAACTACGTAACCTTAATAGTGATGCTGAAATCATACATTGGCAGCGTTCGGAACTACAAGGCTTTATTGAGATTTTACAACCATTTCAAAGCCCTGATAGCTGCAAGAGATCCAATAGTCGCTCCTCTACTGGTGAAAGCTCAAATCTACAACCACTTGCTCGTTGGGCTCGGCCATCTCGATGCACCAATGCACGACTGTTTGAAAATCGTTGCTGATATGCAAGCTCCGCATTCAAAACCAAGGAACTCGGTAACTGAAAGTGAGATTGGTCAATCTCTTGATGAGGATGATGTGACTGCAGTTTCAATTAGCTCGGAAGAGAGCGACATTGATTCTGAGTCAGATGATGCATCTTTTGATGCAAATGACGATACTTTACAGCCACCCCCTCCAAGTCTTCATACATGGACTACATTACTTAATGTATTCATGCAACGTCATCAACCTCGTGCAGCCGAAAAGGTGTTACAGATCATGATTGAAAAAGAAGGTTTGGAGCCCAACCAAGCAACATGGAATGCATTGACCATGGGCTACATGAGACTCCAAGACCCACAAATGACCGCAGATGCCCTCATTCGAACAAAGCGGGCCGGATTCATTGTTGACCATATCATGGCAAGCAGGTGGTGGCTCAGATTTCAAGCTAGAGCTCGTTTAAGTGAAGCCTTGCAATCTGCTTCTGGTGGCAATGAGACATCACTGGCAGATGTAGCCAATGCTATGGAGTCTGAGTCCGAGATTTCAGATCTGGCTGAGGACGATATCATCGATGAAGAAGTTTTGGAGGCTACCACCTCTAGAACAGGAGATATATATCGTATTCTTAAGCGCCGTCTACAAGCTGTCAATTCTCCGGTCTATCCTAATTGGATCTTTGACGCTATGATCCGGGCCGGCGAAGAAAATGTTATCGAGCCGGAAACAGAGCCAACAAGCGATGAAGTAGCCGAACTTGAAAATGCATCGACTGAATCCTTGGATCAACCAAGTGAGCAGGCAGCCAGATCAACCGTCGACGATGTAGTTGAGTCTGGAATGGTATCGGCTAAACCAGACAAGTCAATTAGTGTCAACGAACAGAATTCAGAACAGCTTCCAGACAGTCAAATAGATGATCAATCTGAACAACGACAACGACACTTAGTGATTGAAGACAAAAGAGATTCGAGACTGCTGCCTACCAATAAGCTAATCATCCGAAGAACGACACAATGGATAATGACACCTGAAGCAAAAGCGTTCCGCCGCAGTTCTCAGGAAAAGGGGCTATTGCAGGGAGCAAATCATGTTGACGGCTAAGATAAAAATGATAAGGACCGACAATCTTGAAGATGTAAATATTGTATTACATATTTAGATGAGAGTGAGATCAAAGCTTGTAAATTTTTATATATACCACTTTTACATGTATAGATGTACAGGGCTAGGGCTATTCGGGTTGTTTTGGATATAGACGTCATCATGAGCCGGGCACAGTGTTGCTTATTTTATTTTCCATGTGCAACTATGTATTATACCTTATGATAGAATAGACGAATTAGAAATTCATCTCCGTACCTTACTGATGGACGCCGATTCTATCGATTTTGATTTCTTTTTATTATTGAGAACACGCTATTTGGCGGTTGGCGGCGAAGACATCTTTCATGAAGGTGCGCCCGGTGAGCTTCATACAGATTTACATTCCCGGTGAACCCCTGTTTGAGCTCAACTAGAGTTTTTATGCGAGACTCAGCGATAAGCACGAGGGGTTTCTTATCATGTATGCCAAGCTTTTGGTGGGGTTTTATTTATCTTGTGCTCCTGTCAATCCAATGTAATTTGAAGCTGTCAATCAAACAATTGAAGGATCAATTATAACCTCATCATGCCAGACAAGGACGCAGGTACTCCAAGAGTCTTTCTCATTAGACAGTAAGTATTTGCTCTACTCAGCCTAGAGAAGCCTCGAGCAAAACATCCTCCATGGGTTATATATTATTTTTATGCCCCGACCCGATGTAACTTGGATGGATGATGAATGCTAACTCTGTATCAGTGGTAAGTCATTTATGGCTCTTTTAATATTATAATTCACACTTGCATCATGCATTGTTTAAAACCCGCGCATATCCATTAGGGATCTCAAGGTTTGAACAGTCAAATTTCT